ACAACTCGGAAGGAGGCGGCACATGGGTTCCCTCCATCGAAAAGCTATACATTTTCCCCATAGACTTTTGGAAAATCGCAAAAAACAAGATCTGTGTTTAACAAAGGGTTTGACCCTTACACGTTTTGTCTATCAAGATAATCTTTACAAGTTAATGCAAAATGTATACATTTTGAAGCCTATATAAAAAACACAATTTAAAAGCACAAGCAGAGCAGACACAATAAAGTTTAAAAAACCACAAGCAGGTTATAACTGTGTGTTCTATGTCATAGATCAAAACGTAAAAATATTTAGAGGCTTTGGTCCCCACAGACCTTATTTCAGGCGATTTAGCAAAAACCCATTCAAAAATCCCATAGATTTCAGAGCGAGGGAACCAGGAGTGCTAAAATGCTAACTCAAAGATCCCCTGTTAGGTCTATACAAGACGGATTATATCTCATGTATAACCACTACAGAGACGTCAGAGTCAGCGGCAAACATCAGAACGACTAGCCGAGGAAAGGCTGTTCCAGGCGGGGTGTACGAGCGCCGAGTGTCCGGTGATTGCTTGGAATGGATTTCAGTCAAATTATCATAAATCTATAAATTAACCACAGATTTGAGCTTTAAAAAACTGCATTCTCGCCTGAAAAACTGTTAAAACTACATTGAGACACAATAACAGTAGTATTATATTTCAACTGTATATTAAAAAATGGCGCTTCTAATGCCCTTGTAGCACGCGCAAGTGACTCTGTCAACCAATCAACATTCTGCAGTGAGTCTAGCTCCACCATTTGGTACGGTACGGTTCGGCTTTTTGGTACCATTCACAACTTTTGACAGTGGAAACGCAAATAATTGTGTACCATACCGAACTGTACCGTACCACTCAGCGGAAACGAGCCATAAGTGTCATTGTGTCAACATGTTTTTGTGCTGTATGCAAAATTGAGACTGTGTATGCATTCATACTCACTGCTGATTTGCTAGAGATGACCTCAGTGATGAGCTCAGTCTCCTCACCATCAGCGGACCGAAGACGACAGTCCCGAATCACAGGGTCCTGTAACAGCCTCTGAATGACATCAGGGAACGCACTTTCCACAAAGTACCTGTTCTCAACACACACACAGGTTCTCATTCACTAACTGTGCATACACGGACATGATTTGGGTGTGTTTTATGCAAGCGAGTTAACTTGGGCAGGCTGTTGCTCATTTAGAATACTCCAAATTCATTAAAGGTGCATTGCGCAACTTTTCATGTTAAAAATAGCCGTTTTCTAACCCATACATGCTTAAACAATCGCCTGATGGGCTGAATGAACCCTTCTTTGATCACTGCGATCGCCTATATAATCCTGTACAGTGAAATATATAAGAGGGATTCGGGCTCGAATCTGAGACTGGGCGTGACGTCATGCGCGTTCACGCTCGCCTGGCTATGTCTGGCAGGTTCGTGTAGCTATTCGCCGCCGTTCTCCGTATCAGAGAAGACAACTCGAGCGACACAACTCTAGTCAGCTTTCCACAAAAGTAGACGATGGATTCAAAGGGGCTGTTTACACCTGGTCACTTCATGTGTCTTCTGTGATCGGATAGCTATTCGATCGTGAAAAGACCAGGGTGTAAATGCCCTCCGAAACGCATTCGAGACGGATTTGAATTCGATCGCTCAAACCACTTGAGGACGTGGTCTGTGCCGTATTCCAGACGAAACTGGACAAGTGTAAATGCATCTGGTTGTTGAAACCAAGCTATATGTCATTATATTTTAGTCATATGACGACGCGCATCACCTGAGCAGCTGAGCTGAGCCCCTTCATCAAGCGCCGCAATCTATCGCAAATCAAAGTGAATTAGTGAAAGTAAGTCGCAGACGCTTAACACTACCATCTTCATTAAAAGTAAAGAAATGAAATGATCTTACCAGTTCTGTTGCCGATCTCTCCTATTGCTGTCTTTGCTGATTTTGAAATTAGCCGATGATTAATAAAATCCAGCTCATATGTTGCTTTCGGTGACGTGCACTTCATTAAATCTGTATATGGCGCGGAAAGAGACCGGCTTGTAGCTCATTACAAACCCCAACGCAAACTCCACGTGAGACAGAAAATAAAACTTCTGTCTGTCCAGTGCCATGCGTCGGAATAAGACGAGAGTCAACATCGGGAAGCTTTCAACAAACGGAGAGATCTCCGGTCGTCTCTAGGGCTCAAACGGGTCATAGCCTATACAAAGTGATAACTGAACGTGTTTCCATAATAATTCAATCATAAGTGGATACAGTAAGCACAGGGAGATAGATGGAAACAAAAACCGAAGTTTTCTACTACCCCCGTTTCCCCCTCTCACACAAGTGTGTAATTTACTCGAATGCCTTTCCTTTCATATATTTTAAATGACTTGCAGATTTATTACTGTATTACCTCATTATGACTGTAACAAAAGATGTGTGCCGCACAGTGTGCGGCTGATGCTCCTTAGTTATGAACAGCTCGTGCAAACGTGCGTATGTGTGTGTGTTCCTCCATGAACGCGCACAGCTCTGGTTGCAGTTTCGCTTGTCGCCAGAGGGGGCGTAGTTCTGCAAAAACTCAGAGACTTGCGTTTAGCTCCTTTAACGTTAGAACGACATCAAGAACAAACTCGTGTGCGTACTAGGGCTGTCAAGCGATTAATCGCATCCAAAATAAAAGTTTGTGTTTACATAATATATGTGGGTGCACTGTGTATAATTATTTTTTTATAAATAAATATACATACATGCATGTATATTTAAGAAAAAAAATATTTACATATAAAATATTTATATTTATATATAATATAAATTATATATAAATCTATATACAGTATATACACAAGCATATGTGTGTATTTATATATAAAAAATATTTATACACAGTGCACCCACATATATTATGTAAACACACAAACTTTTATTTTGGATGCGATTAATCGCGATTAATCATTTCACAGCTCTAATTAAAATAGAAAATACTTATTTCAAATTGTAATAATATTTTCGACCCCAAGCTTTTGAGTAATAGTCGACAATAAAGTTATCTTTTTCACCATTAAAGGAACAATTAAGTTTCAGAATCAAGTACATCCAATCTCAAGACTCAAAACTAACAATTTTCATTCAAGTTCAAGTAAATCCAAAGAGTTTATGGTCAAAAAATGGTTTACAATTCACCAACTTCCCTCAACTACATACTACCAGCTGCTAAAAATGCCACCTGTTATCCAATTAAATCATTATCCAAGCAAATCATTCAATAGGCTATATATTCAATAAACAGAGTTTTCAACTACATAACTAACTTAAGTGAGAATTACATGATGAACAATGTGTACAAAAGAAACTGACCTGTTGTGTTTCAGGACCATTTTGACTTTACCGTAGCTTACTGTGCACAGCTGCAGAAGAACAAAGAGAGAGAAAATTAGTGGCTTTGCCTTTGGTATATATATAAAAATGGTTGAAATTGTAAAATTCAGATAGATTTGACTAGCAGCTCACACACACCTTAATAAACTGCACTATGCCATCGGGCACAGAGGTCTTGCTGAGTTTCTGCAAGTACTCAATGATGTCAGAGGTCTGCAGGCCGACGCTCACGGCGGCGTAGAGAGAATAGGCCGTCAGCTTGTACTCGTGCGCATGAATGGGTCTGCAAACTGGCTCTGATATCGCCACCAGGAAGTCCTGGGCGTATTTATACACGGGAGAGAAAGCCTCTAGGAAGATGTGACCATCAGGAGCCTACAAAAGTCAGACACACAGATAAAGGGACCCTCTTAATGTTGGTGGCTTCTGTTGTAAATTGCTAATCGATCAAGGATCTTTAGTCTTACCACCCAAAGAGGTCGTGAAGAATGGTCGTTCTTGAGAAGCATCTGTTGTCTGTAGTCTTTGGCTCCGTATTCATCCAGTTTCGTGCTGGATTCCTCCACCTGCTTCCCGGCTGCTGCTGGAATAGCCTCCTGAGACTCACTGCCTACCAGCTCTTCTTCCTCCTCTTCCTCATCATAATAACGCTTCTTGGACTTCTTATCTAAAGTGAAAGAATAAAGTTATTCCAAACCTGTATGAGTTTCTTTCTTTTGTTGAACACAAAAGATGTTTTTAAGAATGTCGATAACCGGACACTTGACTGTATTTTTTTTTTTATTATTATTTTTTTGCTTCCAGTTACCGTTACCGACATTCTTCAAAATATCTTATTTTGTGTAATTACAGAGGAAATAAATGTATACAGGTTTGGAACAACTTGAGGGTAAGTACATGTTGATTGTTGACAGAATATTCATTTTGGGGTGGACTATCCCTTTAATAGTGTAGAAGCAATATCTACACTGTAAACTTTGGGTAAAAATACACGGAAATAATATACTTTCTTTGAAATACGGTTCAAGTGTACTGCATTTTTGCTAAATAAAATACACTCTGATGTAATTTCTATTGAACTTGAATGTCATGACCATTTTTTTTACAGTCTGTGGTCATGACTCATGTATTTAAACATTTGTTGAGGGTTATGCACAAAAATAAGCTCATGGTTATCTTTTTACAATCATGCCACCGTACTGTTCAGTTAAACATGGTAGATATCAATAACAGCATATCTTACATTGGTCCATCAAACTGTTTTGATTAAATTAATGTATTTATTTCGTAAGAATCGCGTCTATCTTACCTCGATCACTCTTATCTTTCTTCCCCATGGTGTCAGCCCTAGAAAACACTAACCTATAATGAACTGAGTGATGGTTTAACACTTTTTAATAATAAAACTGCAAGAGGATTCATTAAAGCGTCACTGCTAGCGGCCATGTCCAGCACGCTCTTCTTTCTCTACGGAAAACACTATCGAGAAATGTAAACCAACCCCGAACACCTACCGCCATCTGCAGGCTGGACGTGTAAATGCGCAAACTATCAAATAACTACAACTTAAATATCAATATCATTCAGAATGCAGTGAAATTGCAGTTAAAACGCCAACGGTGTTTTAACTTAGAATTTATTCCCATACAATACAGTCCAAAGTTCAACAATATCTGGAAAGGTATAATATTTAATGACAGGACGTTATGTGTGGAAGAACTCACATTTAAAACATGTAACTTCTAAAGTAAATAAAACTATAGAACACTTTACCAATCTCACACAACTAAACAACAGTCATTTAATATTTGTTCTATATGAAAAGGCAACAGAGTAAAAACAGACACGTGACTGGTTTCAGACACTGTATTGAGTATCATAGGATTAAACACTGAATATCAAAGCAAACAAAAACATAAGACTTTGCCTTACATTTAAACCACCTATGTGTAGATCATTGGTAAACCCACTCTTATGTAAATTGTTGCACTAAATTAAATAAGGTAATTTACTGAAGAACTGAATGAGACAATAGGCCTTAATCATGAAACCGAAGAACAAATTTGTGCTAATCAATTCTTAAAACTATTCATCCATAAATCGACCCACTGAATCAGATGCGACACCGAGCATAAGAATGGTTTTACACATGACCTGCACAGATGGGTTTGTCTCTCTAAGGCTGTAAGGTGGTTTTGTCTGTTTGTAGCTGGTTTCCAGAATACAATTTCTGTTAAATGCAAAGGAGACGCAGCTTATGTTCCCATGGCGGTCTTGGCAAGAGAGAAGACAGTCCTATGCCCCTGCATCCGAGACGCAGGCAGAGTATCTGTATGTGTAGAGTTTGTTGTCTGCTCCTCCACTCAAGATCAACTAGAGAGAAAGGCAGAAAAAGAAAAGAGGGATTGATATAAACCCACAGAAATATCCTCCAAGTTTAATCAGAAATCAGGAAAGGAGCGAGGAAGCACAAAAAAGAAATGAGAAGCTTGTGTTTTGATCCAGATATTCTGTACTATTTCAGAAGACGCTTAAAGCTTGCTCTACCATATAACAGTAAAAGGGTTCTGTCAATGGCAAAAAATTTGAGAAGGTCCTCACTGCAGAACATGAAATCCAGGGGGAGGAGTTGCAATCCAGATCCAACTCCGCCCATCTTGCGTATACCTAAACCTACCCATCTCCGCCCCCTGATCCCTAACCCCACCCATCTCCGTCCGCTGATCCCTAATCCTACCCATCTCCACCCCCTGATCCCTAACCCCACCCCTAATCCTATCCATCTTCACCCCCTGATCCCTAACCCCACCCCTAATCCTACCCATCTCCGCCCCCTGATCCCTAACCCCACCCCTAATCCTACCCATCTCCGTCCGCTGATCCCTAATCCTACCCCTAATCCTACCCATCTCCGCCCCCTGATCCCTAACCCCACCCATCTCCGTCCGCTGATCCCTAATCCTACCCATCTCCACCCCCTGATCCCTAACCCCACCCCTAATCCCATCCATCTTCACCCCCTGATCCCTAACCCCACCCCTAATCCTACCCATCTCCGCCCCCTGAACCCTAACCCCACCCCTAATCCTACCCATCTCCGTCCGCTGATCCCTAACCCCACCCATCTCCGTCCGCTGATCCCTAATCCTACCCCTAATCCTACCCATCTCCGCCCCCTGATCCCTAACCCCACCCCTAATCCTACCCATCTCCACCCCATGATCCCTAACCCCACCCTAATCCTATCCATCTTCACCCCCTGATCCCTAACCCCACCCCTAATCCTACCCATCTCCGCCCCCTGATCCCTAACCCCACCCCTAATCCTACCCATCTCCGCCCCCTGATCCCTAACCCCACCCATCTCCGTCCGCTGATCCCTAATCCTACCCATCTCCACCCCCTGATCCCTAACCCCACCCCTAATCCTATCCATCTTCACCCCCTGATCCCTAACCCCACCCCTAATCCTACCCATCTCCGCCCCCTGATCCCTAACCCCACTCCTAATCCTACCCATCTCCGTCCGCTGATCCCTAATCCTACCCCTAATCCTACCCATCTCCGCCCCCTGATCCCTAACCCCACCCATCTCCGTCCACTGATCCCTAATCCTACCCATCTCCACCCCCTGATCCCTAACCCCACCCCTAATCCCATCCATCTTCACCCCCTGATCCCTAACCCCACCCCTAATCCTACCCATCTCCGTCCGCTGATCCCTAACCCCACCCATCTCCGTCCGCTGATCCCTAATCCTACCCCTAATCCTACCCATCTCCGCCCCCTGATCCCTAACCCCACCCCTAATCCTACCCATCTCCACCCCATGATCCCTAACCCCACCCCTAATCCTACCTATCTCCGCCCCCTGATCCCTAACCCCACCCCTAATCCTACCCATGTCCACCCATTAGATCTGGATCTAACTCCGCCCCCTGGATCCCATGTACTGCAATGATGTGGTACTGGAAAATTCTGTCAATGGCGGGGGATTTTCGTGATCCCTAACCCCACCCCTAACCCCACCCATCTCCGCCCCCTGATCCCTAACCCCACCCCTAATCCTACCCATCTCCGTCCGCTGATCCCTAACCCCACCCCTAATCCTACCCATCTCCACCCCATGATCCCTAACCCCACCCCTAACCCCACCCATCTCCGCCCCCTGATCCCTAACCCCACCCATCTCCGCCCCCTGATCCCTAACCCCACCCCTAATCCTACCCATCTCCACCCCATGATCCCTAACCCCACCCCTAACCCCACCCATCTCCGCCCCCTGATCCCTAACCCCACCCCTAATCCTACCCATCTCCGTCCGCTGATCCCTAACCCCACCCATCTCCGTCCGCTGATCCCTAATCCTACCCCTAATCCTACCCATCTCCGCCCCCTGATCCCTAACCCCACCCCTAATCCTACCCATGTCCACCCATTAGATCTGGATCTAACTCCGCCCCCTGGATCCCATGTACTGCAATGATGTGGTACTGGAAAATTCTGTCAATGGCGGGGGATTTTCGTGATCCCTAACCCCACCCCTAACCCCACCCATCTCCGCCCCCTGATCCCTAACCCCACCCCTAATCCTACCCATCTCCACCCATTAAATCTGGATCTAACTCCGCCCCCTGGATCCCATGTACTGCAATTATGTGCTACTGGGAAATTCTGTCTGGGACCGCCGTCGGTGTGTGAATGAGTGTATGAATGGGTGAATGTGAGGCAAATGTAAAGCGCTTTGGTGGCCATTAGGTCTATGAAGGCACTATATAAATGCAGTCCATTTACCATTTGTTGTTACAAAAACAAATAAACTAAAAAAATATGTCAGTTTAAAGTAGATCTTTATTTTTAGAGTTTCAAATATTTGAATGGTTTGACGTACCCCATTCTCTGTCCAGTCAGCACACAGTACTTTGTCTTCATGGGCAGCAAGATCATACAGAGGAGCTTTACAGCTGTAAAGAAACCAAGACTGTTAGAGACACGCATGCAGGAACAGGACGGTATTGTGGTACAAAGTATCTGTGAGTCCCACACCTCCTGACGTCCCACAGTTTCACCACATTATCTAGAGATCCTGACACCAGCTGATGCTCATGAGATGGAGACCACCTGACCACCGTCACCCAACCATTATGGGACGTCAGTGACAAGAGAACTAGAGAGCCATCTGGAAGAAGAAAAAAAAAGTGAGATGAGCAATTAAAATAGCTGTTAGTTTGAGAGGGCATCATTATACAGAATCTCTGATAGTCACCTTTAGACCTTGGGTCCCATAGACGAACATGTCTGTCGGTGGTGCCCGAGGCCAGACGGCGACACAGAGGAGAGTAAGAGATACAGTTGAAAACCTTACTGCCCATCTGCAATACAAGAACACCAGTCTCTAAATCCAGAAGTCCATAAACACTATGTGTTTATTGCATTAGTGGTGCAAAACTCTATCTAGCACTACTTTTATGAAGAACTGGTGTCACTCACAAGCGTACTCTTCTGCCCGCCAGTCTCTGCATCCCACAGACGGATGGTGTGATCCCATGATGCACTGCACAGTTCCTCTGCATCCATCCAGAGCACTGAGGACACTGCCTCATTATGGCCAGAAAGAGTCATGAGCGGAGTCTAGAGCAGAACAAGAGTTTATGAAACTGCAAACCATGAGTCTGAGTCAAGAACATGTTCAGATACTCACCCGTGTGAGCCCCATCTGCTCCGTTTTCTGTTTTTTGCGTGGTCTGTTGGGTTCCTCTATTTCATCTTCTTCCTCTGTTGGCACTGAGACAACAATACAAGCCGGTTTATATAAATGTATTACTATAGATCCTTACATTGGTTTCTTTTTTTGATGGTGGATGTTTTTCCTTGTGTAATTCAAAAGGACATTTCACAGAAAAAAGTTTTCTAAAAACGTACCTGCTGACCATATCTTTAGCATTTTGTCCCATGAGCCACTGCAAAACTGAAGACAAAAAAACAAGACATAATTCAAATATGTTACTTTTGGTGCAAATTATTATTATTTTTTTTTGCTTTTTAAAATTTTATATATATATATATATATATATATATATAATTTAAAAAGCTAATATATATATATATATATATATAATTAAAAAGCATATATATATATATATATATATATGTATATAATTAAAAAGTAAATATATATATATTTTATTCATATTCATATTCATATTAATTGAAAAAGTAAAAATATACATAAACTACTGTTCATATTTTGGGGGATAGTAAGAATTTTTAAATATTTTTATCTCACGAAGGCTGTTTATTTAACCATAGATACAGTAAAAACAGTAATACTGTGTGAAATATCATTAAAATGTACGACAACTGTTTACTATTTTAATATATTATAAAATGTAATTTATTAATTTAATTAAAATGTAATGTATGTAATTTAAATATATATAAATATAACATTAAAAAAGCAAATATATATATATATATATATATAATTAAAAAGTAAATATATACATGTATATATATTTTATTCATATTAATTGAAAAAATAAAAATATACATAAACTACTGTTCATATTTTGGGGGATGGTAAGAATTTTTAAATATTTTTATCTTACGAAGGCTGTTTATTTAATCATAGATACAGTAAAAACAGTAATACTGTGTGAAATATCATTAAAATGTACGACAACTGTTTACTATTTTAATATATTATAAAATGTAATTTATTAATTTAATTAAAATGTAATGTATGTAATTTAAATATATATAAATATAACATTAAAAAAGCAAATATATATATATATATATATATATATAATAAAAAAGTAAATATATACATGTATATATATTTTATTCATATTAATTGAAAAAATAAAAATATACATAAACTACTGTTCATATTTTGGGGGATGGTAAGAATTTTTAAATATTTTTATCTCACGAAGGCTGTTTATTTAATCATAGATACAGTAAAAACAGTAATACTGTGTGAAATATCATTAAAATGTACGACAACTGTTTACTATTTTAATATATTATAAAATGTAATTTATTCCGGTTATGGCAAAGCTGAATTTTCAGCATCACTACTCCAGTCTTCAGTGTTCATGATCCTTCAGGAAATTATTTTGATATGCTGATTTACTGCTCAAGAAACATTTTTTTTTTTATCATCAATGTTGAGAACGGTTTATATTTTTGTAGAAACCGATTTATTTGAACATTATTAAATGTCTTTTATGTCACTTTAGATTAATTGAATGCACATGAATAAAAATTCATTAACTTAATGAATGAAAGTACTTATGAATAAATAAAAATCATACAGAAGTCAAAAAAACAGAAAGACTAACGAACACACACAAACCTTTGTCCTAGTGGGGTCAACGGCAACCGTGTCTACACTTCCTGCGTGTCCTCGGCAACAGTGTCGGGCCTTCACTTTATTCCGTTCGGAATTCCACTCCCACAACATGATTGTTTGATCAAGAGATGCCGTCAGGAGCAAAGAGCTCAGACCATCTAAAAGCCACAGAACCATCAAAAACAGAAAAATTCAGAAACCTCATGCATCATTGGTTCTCTTAAACGTCAATACATAAATCCTCTCAGATTCACACATAAATGCAAATTAGGCATCTCATACTGGTTATCTTTCAAATAAACACTTGTACGTTTCTTACCCCTCTTCACCCAGGCTACATCCTTCACAACATCAGTGTGTCCAGCCACAGTCATCACAGCCTTCCCTTCCATTGACCAAATCCGTGCAGTCTTATCGTAAGAGCCTGTGAGGATCCTGGGCACAAAGCAGAGAACGACTTGAATAGATCAGCCACAAAACTGTCCAAGCAAATACATTTTTGACTTCTGTCTAGAATGTTTTGAATGAAGCGCACCATTCAGAATCTGCCTCCACCGAGCTGATCCAGTCATCGTGCATGATACACTCCTCTGGCTGTGGGGCTGTGAACTTCTCTACATATTCTATCTCCACCACTTCTTCCTGTAAACACACACACACAAGCATCATATATGTTTTAGCATGTTTAACAGATTAGATAGATATGTGTTGGTGAGACTACATTAAATGCAATGACATACCGTTGAGATGTTCTCTGTCTCCATGTGATTGGCCAGTGAAGTGCGGAGAAACTGTCCCCGAACCAGAAAATCAAACTCAACATGTTTGTGTCCAGCTGTAAAAAGAGACATAAATTATGTGAATTTAAATAAAAAACAAATACAAAAAAATATATATATAACCAAGCGATGCAGCTTCAAAAGTCAGAATCTAGCCATTAAATCAACATAGAGAATCGGTAACCGTTTGCAATAAGGTTAACATGGACTAAGAAAGAACAATACTTCTACAACATTTATTAATATTATGTTAATGTCAACATTATTAAAATCAAATAGTGTATTAAGTTACCATTAGTTAATGCACTGTAAACTAACATGAATAATCGATAAACAGCTGGATTTGTATTAACTTACATTAACAAAGATTAATAAACAAAAGTATTGCTCATATTAGCTAATGTTAACAAACGAAACATTATTGTAAAGTGTGACAGGATATTATAACTAGATTCCACACAATTTTTGGAAAAATATTTTAAATTAGTCGTATAGTGGGCAAGTATGCAGCACCATAACAAGATAAAAGCACGTCTAAATGAATGTCTGGTAAACAAGCAGACCATTCTTCGCTTCCAGCAGCTTGTTGATGACACCACTGAGATCCGCCACCTCAGAGGCAGCAGGGATGGAGAACGGAACATCATCTATCAGATACCTACAGAGAAGAGCATATTACACATGATGACACATACATACACGGCCTGCATCTACCATCATATGAACACTGCAAATACTACTACGCAAATTCAGCTGGATATCTCTTATCTATTTGTGTTAAGCTCACTAACGTTATATATATATACTCACTTTTTGTTTTCGGTAAAGAACCGGGCCTGTACCTGCGACATTTTATTTTATTAGACGGCAAAACAATAAAGAAAACACATCTGAATACAGGCGAACTTCACTCTGTGGAGACACTTTCCCACCATGTGGTTCCAAATGCGTGACGGTGGAAGACATGACAGTTGTTCGCAGAGCAATCGATGACTGACAAATGTGCTCGCAACTAGTTACGTCTGAGTTTAGCTCCAGTCTGAAGTTTCTTCGGATTTCTAGAGGAAAAGATGGTAAAAGGTTTTTCAAAGTGAGTTTGTAACAGTGCAAGCCCATTTAAACAACATTTTCTGTAAGGCAAAGCTTATTTATATGGCAAATTCACACAGTACGGCAAATTCAAAGTGCTTTACAGAAAGAAATGACAATTTTCACAAAATAAAAGTAAGTAGTAAGTAAGTAAACTTTATTTATATAGCACTTTTCACAGACATGAAGGGTCACAAAGTGCTTTACATTAAAAAAAACAAATAATAAAAGAAATAAAAACCACAACACACATTACAACACCACCATAGCTAGTTAAAAGCTTGTCTAAAAAGATGTGTTTTAATTTTCTACAGTGTCCAAAGCTCTCAAGACTAATGGAAGAGAATTCCATAGTCTTGGAGCCACCACACAAAACGCACGATCGCCTCTTGTTTTAAAACGAGTTCTAGGAACAGTAAAAAGGTCTTGGCCTGAAGACCTCAAGGAGCGACCGGGAGAGTGAATGTGAAAAAGGTCCTGGATGTACGAAGGAGCTTGATGGTGGAGAGCTCTGTAGGTAATGGTTAAAATTTTAAACTGCACTCTAAAACTAATTGGGAGCCAGTGAAGAGCCTTAAGCACAGGAGTGATATGTGATCTCCTGTTTGTCTTTGACAACAGTCGTGCAGCAGCATTCTGCACAACTTGCAATTTTTCCATGGAGGATTTGTTTAAGCAAGTGTACAGTGCATTGCAGTAGTCCAGACGAGAGGAAATAAAAGCATGAACAAGCATCTCCAACTCTTCTTTAGAAACCACTGATCTAATCTTAGCGATGTTTCTGAGATGAAAAAAACAGGAACGAACCACAGATTTAACATGACTGCTAAAACTCATCGATTTATCAAAAAGTACACCTAAATTTCGTAGTACATCACCATCTGAGGATGATAAAGCCCCAATGGCCTGCCTAATCTTTGGAGTAATTTTATCAGGAGCCATAATCAACACCTCAGTTTTGTCCGAATTTAGCTGCAAAAAGTTATCAGACATCCATTTATTGATGGAGGCTAAACACTTGTGCAACAGTGACAATAAAAGCAAGGGAAATGAAAACGGTTATAAAAGAAATTAAAAGAGATATATTATACAATAATAAAATGAATTCAAAGAGTAAATACATGGATAAACTTCTCATCTGGCAAAAGACCAGTGTAACATATTTTTCCATAACTCCCAGTTTTATTTGTGAGATTTTCCCATGCTGATCAAACTGTGTTTGTGGTGTTCTTTCTGCATGACTTAGAAATCTACTGGACGTCTCCGATGGACCCATTTCCCCCCTAAAATCGGACAAGAGGACACTGCCTCATCAGTCCTCACCCCAAAAACCCATTTGTTCGAAAGCTCTAGGAATGAAATCAATCCAGTCCACACCCCACAGAACCTTGAGTTTAATCATACATCAATCTCACTACTCCACCACAGACCCAGGTCATCAGCATGGTTTCATCTCTCAAGTTCCCCTTTATGTTTGTCTCTTACCCAATGTTCAGTGCCCTTTGAGTTCAGTTTAGAATCAAAAGGAGGACTACAGTGAACTCAGTTATAAAAATAATTTAAAAAGTAATAATATTATACATAAATAAACTTCTCATCCGTAGATAGCCTATGTTTAATACCTTGGTTATTCCACCTACCCAGCCATAAGATGCAGCACTGAGCACAATAAAAAAATCCCTGCTCTCTCCTGCTTCTCAGGTATTTTTTTTTCCTAAAAAGCAAAAATAATCTCACATGTCTAGAGTTACAGAAGAGATCTCAACAATATATCGCATTGTACCAAAGTCTGTGATCAAAAATCTGAATTTAAATTTGATTTCTCATCAAATTCTTTTTAAACCAAATTTTATGGGCGAAACACTTTCACCTAAGAAAACAACAACTATTTTTTAACTCATTTGTACCATAAGAGTTAAGTAGTACAATCATACCCCCAATATAAACATTGCATTTAACATTAAATAATGGTGAAATATGACCCAGACATACTCATTGCCAAGTTTTGTGATTTCGCATGCTCTACTAGGCATATGTTGACATTTTTTCTTATTTCCTTCTATTATTATTTCCCCCAAAGAAGAACGAAAGTATAAAATTGTGTTAATATCTTGAGGACTTGAACTATGAACATTTCCTTTTGGGAAATACTATTTCAGATTAGATGAAACTAGTCCTTTTTACACTTCTGTGACTGGAAACACCAAATAGTTCAAGAAATTGTGCAAGTCCAAAAGAACTTTGTTCCATTTTCCTGCATTCTTTTCAAAAATGTGATGCCTTGTCAGCCAGTAGCAGTTAGACAGCAGATGTGATCATGTCCTTCTACATCACTGGTCTAGAGTAACAGCAATATCTCATGTTTAAATGTATCATCATCACGTCTCTTTATCCAGATATCCTTGACATACTAGTCCCATGCAGTCTGATCAACACCCATCACGTTGACAGCCGACACAGTAACTTTTCATTGTTTTAGGTCACGTCGCCCCAGCAGGCCGAGGGGTCAAGGTTGCGTCTGCTGTGGGTCCGCAGCTGCAAAAGGTCTCTCTGTTTTTCTCAAGACCCTCCGCTGCTGCCGACCTGCCTGGGGACGCCATGCAACTCTCCTGAGTCTGCTCCCTTGGCAGTGAGCACCCGTGGGAGGCAGGGCGAGAGATAACGTACCGCTTGAAGATCCCCACATTACCTCACCAGATAAGGCAGAGGGAGGGGATGGAGCCGAGCGCAGTGGACATTGGGCCTTTGGGTGGAAGAGCCCCTTCGCGCAGCTCGAGGGAGACACTAAAGTGCTGTCATTTAGAGACCGGTTCGGTGGCCTCGCCGCTGGTTCCCATGGCTGAGCGAGCGGTACGAGAGGATGTGGCACAGGAGCGGGGAGAGATGGGAGGAAAGAGCGTGAGGACGCACAGATGGACACAACCATGCGTAAAACAGGCAACACGTCGAGAGCCAAAGAAGTGGGTGAGTGAACGAACGGAGTAGCGGATGGTTTGCGCTCAAAGGGATTTGAAATCATTTGGATATAAAAAATAATGAGAAATCATCAGTTTGGTTTGTATTGTGTATTAACATGCACATCAAAAGTTAATATCATGATTTTTCACATAGTGTGACTGTGTTCAAAATTAGTCCCAAAAATAGTTTAATGCAGATTTTTTTGATTTTTTTTAATAGAAATTTGTAAATAAATGAAGAGTTCAGATGCAAAAGCCTCTAAATGCCATTTGAAATTTTCTTTTTTAATGATGATTTTTATCAAACTTGTATATTTAAGTTCAGTAATTTCACTTAAATAACAATTAATAGGTAATTATCATTGCCATTTAAGTGAAATCACTGAACTTAAATATACAAGCTTGATAAAAATGATCATTCTAGAAGAAAATTTCAAATGGCACTTAGAGGCTTTTGCATCTGAACTCTTCAAATATTAATAATTAAATTAATATAAACAACAATAATACTATAAATGATAATTGAAACTAACAAATAAATATTGATTTTAATATTATTCAATTATGCTAAAATAAAATGGCTAACAATATAATCTGTGATGAAAAAGTTTGTCAAAAAAAATCTAAATAGAAGCGTTTTTGTTAGTGTTTTTTTTTTTTTTTTTTTTTGGACCCCACTGTAAAAAATAATCCTGTAAAAAAAACGGTAAAGTACTTGCAGCTGTGGTTGCCAGCATCATGTGTTAATGTTTTTGAAATTAACGGCTAAATACTGTATTGTCAGCAACAGTATAAAACTTTAATTTAACAGCTACATGCTCTAACACAAAAACAGTAACACAACGTATAGTTACGGTATGATGCTGGCAACCACAGCTGCCAATAGTTTACCGTTTTTTTACAGGATTATTTTTTACAGTCTGTATAACAGATTTCAACTACTAACATTTAATTTAATAATTAGAAACTATGCACTTATTGTGTTACCATACATATATATACACAAAAAGCTTTCGAGGTGTATATATTATATATATATATATATATATATATATATATATATACTGTAGGTACATGCACCACAGAAGCATTTTGCAATACAACATGAAAACAATAAATAAGTACCTAACAACTGTTTTTGTTTTTAAGTACATCGAAGTTAAAGACACAGACAACTAATATAAAGTGGGACCTATACCTCCAAAGACTCACAAAACAGTAACAAAAAGTTTTCCCTCATTCCTTTGGATTGTCTTAGGCAAAGTCTGGGCCGACAACTCCATCCAGGGCATATAAGAGCCAGAACTCTCCAGAGAATGCAGCGAGAGAGAGGAGTCGTGTTCGAAACCTCAGACAAGCCTTCCACAGCCTGCAGGCGGCTTTACCCTCCGTCCCTCCCGACACAAAACTCTCCAAGCTGGACGTGCTGGTCCTGGCCACCAACTACATCGCCCACTTGACCGAAACACTGGACCAGGACGGGATGTTGGGGGACCATCCCATCCTGCAGAGAGCTGAGTACCTGCATCCCGTGAAGGTGAATCTATCTATCTATCTATCTATCTATCTATCTATCTATCTATCTATCTATCTATCTATCTATCTATCTATCTATCTACAAAGGGGCCTCAACCAACTTCTAAGGGGCCTCAAGATTATTTAAAATTATTTAAAATAAGGCAAAACAAGCATGAAATTATGAAATGAAAAACTAAAACTGCTAAAAAGGCATTTCTTTTTCTTTTTTTTTCTTTTTTACAGTTTTTCTCAGTCGATTTGATACATTTCTCGAATCATCCTTAAAGGAGTAGTTCACTTTAAAAAAACTTTTGCTGATAATTTACCCACCCCCATGTCATCCAAGATGTCCATGTCTTTCTTTCTTCAATCAAAAAGAAATTAAGGTTTTTGAAATGAGATTTTCAGTGCAGCTTCAAAGAGCTTTAAACGACACCAGACGATGAATAAGGGTCTTATCTAGGACCCTTCGAGTCATGACTGGAAAAAAGATTTATTCATCATTTTGATGAACGAGTTTGAACAGGAGAGTCATGAACGCTCATCACAGAACAGAGGAAGGCGAGCATTTGTGCTTATAAAACTTAAACTTTTTTATTTATTTTTTACAGTAAATGACTGATTGTTTCACTAGATAAAACTCTTATTCATCATCTGGTGTCATTTAAAGCCCTTTGAAGCTGCACTGAAACCCTCATTTGGACCTTGAACCGTTTGGTTCCCATTGAAGTCCATTATATGGAGAAAATCCTGGAATGTTTTCATCAAAAACCTTAATTTCTTTTCAACTGAAGAAAGAAAGACATGGACATCTTGGATGACATGGGGGTGAGTAAATTATCAGCAATTTTTTTTTTTTTTTTTTGAAAAGTGAACTAATCCTTTAGTTACTTTTTATAGAAAGTTGTTACTTTTGTATTACTTTTTTTCTCTTGGGCTGGGAAAAAATTTTTTTTTAAAGTGAACTCCAATTGATTAAAGCAGCATCACACAATAGATTACCTGCAAAAGCCTGTAATTTGCTCAAAATCCTTAGTTCATCTCTCAACAGAGTATTTGTCAATGAACATATCAGTGCCATAGAATGACAAATTGTATCATTGTTTACAAATGCTTCGTCATGTTGTCAATATAACAGTTCAGTGTATTCTATAATGTATGTGTGTGGTTGTGTGTTACAGTATGTCTCTTTAAAATATATTTAACGTATAATGTAAAATGCAAGTGGACTACAGTAATACAGTATAACAGTGAACATTGTTTGATTACATAACTGTTCTGCATGGTTCACTAGCAGCCCTTATCATTTCGCATTTCATGACTCATGCAAGGAACTAATGCCTAGATGTTTTGAGGAGTAAGACTCAGGAAAACATACAGACATACAACATTCTATTATACAGAAAATTGAATATATTTTGATCAACATGACATTAGCAATTCATAGATAACAGCAGATATTTGTACATGAATGTACCAAAGCATTTTCAATTTGTCCAGAATGAGAAATTGCTTTAGGATGTGCACAAGATGATGTGGAGGTTCAACAAGTAGTTTTGAGAATTGCAGTTGTGGTCTGAGAAATGCACCTGAGAAACACTGTAAAAAAAGAATTTTTGGTTTAACTTAAAAAAATAAGTAACCTGGTTGCCTTGAAATTTTAAGTTCATTGGAATGGAAAAATTGAGTTAATACAATGAAGGAGATTAATTTAATCACCAGAAACTCAAAATATTATGTTATCTGAACTACATAAATTATATACGTTGATTTGACAAAAGAAAAAAATGTTGTGATTACAAATAATGAAAATATATATATATATTTTTTTTTATAGTGAAAGCGACTTAGAAAAACTGTATTTGGTCATTTTTATAATGAAAATACATCCTTAGTTATGCCAAGCTCCAAAATATTGTATTGGGTAGAAATTGTGAGTGAAGGGAGGCTTCAAATATTGTAATGGACAATGGGTGGGTCTTCAAGATCCACTGATCGAGAGATTATTTTACAGTTTCATGTTGTGTAACATTCATCCAGGTTTTTTGTAAGGATGTTTTGGGATATTTTTGATTAACTAAGCCAATCTATAAGCATTCTGAAGGTATCCAAGTGACATACTTGTATCCTCTTCAACAGAAATGGCCCATGCGTTCTCTTCTCTACTGTGGGAACATAGGAGAGCGATTAGCAGGAGCACAGATCAGTCAGGAGACATCTTGCCCACCTAAGGTGAATGCAGACTAATGGACTGGGAAAATGTCTGAGAATTATTGGACAGTTCCAATTTTTTGTGAATGGAAAATATAGATTTGAGCACAATTGTTTAAGCATGATCTCTTTTATCAGTTATGTTTCCACATTTTTTACCTTTTATTTTGATAAATCAATATAATTGTTTACCCCATATATACTGTATAGTCAGTTGTTCACTTGTCCCAGTCTTCCATTGTAAGTGCATAACTAATTTGTATTTGTTTGTACAAAACAATTATATGTGGTAATATCACATCAGTTATGTAAAATATTTTTATTTTAATATCTTATTTGTTGACAACTTTATTAAGTATTAATAGGAATACAAAAAAAAGTATTTTATAAGAGCACAAAAAATTTGGAAAACTCATATTTTGACAAGTTAACATTATTAAAAATGTTGAGATAAAGTCAATCATTTAAGTCATGGGATAATATCCCATCATTTTGAACAACTTATATTGATTGTAGGGAAGAAAAGTTATATAAATATTCCCTTTCAAAGCTTAATTAAAAGTTAACAAATCGCTTTATCTCTGCTGGCTGTCCGTATCCTGAGTGTTTGGGTTTAATATCCATGTTTTGCACTTGATAGTAATAAAATGAATGTCTTGATTAGTGGGAAGGGAGGATTGTTATAGGGAACATTTGGTAACCACACACAAGTGGACAACCCCCATGTCCTCTTAATCATGGGTAGCTCAGCAGATCATTTAAAATTATTACAGGCAGGAAAACCCATTCAAGAATATTTTTACTCTTCAAAAGTTACAGTGTTCTCTTATTACGGTATTTGCTCGGAAAACAAACCATTTACTAAACGCTTTTAGGAATGAGTATTCACTGCCATGTTTGGTATTGTGCAACTATAGCTTTCTATAAAGCTTGCATGTCTTTCAAGATAATATTCATCCAGAGGTGTGTTTCCCGAAAGCATTGTTAGCCAACTATGGTCGCAAATTGGTCGCAATTTCCATTGAACTCTATTGGCAACGATGGAACTTACGACCATAGTTGGCTAACGATGCTTTCGGGAAACGCACCCCAGGTCTGGACTCTGTACGTTCTGCAGGTATCATGACGTCATCATGTGGGCCACTGATCTGTATGACAGCTGTTGTGAACAGATTGAGGTTGATTGTTAACTTTGACTTAGTTGAGCCTTAAGTCCACTGCTTTACCCTCTCTTATTGATGAACAAGAAAATTAATGATATGAGGGAAATGAACACTTGCAGTCAAATGTTTGCGCACACTGAATTTATGTCTCTCGTTATCTTAAAACATTTTGGTCTTGGTCTAAAACTTGTTCTAAAAACAAGTTTATTTGGGACCTTCTTTAATACCGTTTAACCCATGCATGGATAAAAAAAATCTTCATGTTTCATTTTATTTCAAAACAAGAATAAAACTAATCTTTTATCAAGATAATGTGTTTCGAGGCGAATTATTGCAATAGAAAATGTACTTCACTTTCATCAGTCACGTTGAATGTATGTTGTTGTAAATAAAAAAATGCAATGACATAGAGAAGACAGTAGTTATGGGTAAGGGTCAAAGGTCACCATCTATGATAGTTTGCATGTAACTTCAGAACCTGAAGGGTTAAAAAATGGCTTTCTACTACAGTAACAAGTTACTCGCATCACCATTTTTGTGGGTAACACATTACAAGTTACATAATCAGATTTTCTTTCAAGTAACACAAGTAATGCTATGCTACTACAATTGATTTACTTTTACAAATAAGTAACGCAAGTTACTTAGTTTTCCCATTGACTGACTTTGCATTTCCCTCAGCCTGAGGCTTATTCATTTCACTTTTTGTGCCAAAAATTTAACTTTTGTTATTAAAAAACAAACAAGCAAGCCCAGCCCAAGAGAAAAAAGGTAACCCAAAAGTAACAACTTTCTATAAAAAGTAACTAAAGGAGTAGTTCACTTTTCAAAACAAAATTTGCTGATAATTTACTCACCCCCATGTCATCCAAGATGTCCATGTCTTTCTTTCTTCAGTCGAAAAGAAATTAAGGTTTTTGATGAAAACATGCAACAAACTGCACACTGTTCAAATGGCTTTAAACGATTCCAGACGATGAATAGGGGTCTTATCAAGCGAAACGATCGCTCATTTAAAAAAATAACAAAGTTTAAATTTTATAAGCTCAAATGCTCGCCTTGCTCTGCACTGCGATGCACGTTCGTGACTCTCCTGTTCGAACTCATTCATCAAAATGAACGAATCTTTTTCCGAGTCAATTTGTTCGTTATGTTCGTTGAATGAACCAAACGACTCGGAAAAAGGAGAAAAGGGAGTTCATTTTGATGAACGAGTTCAAACAGGAGAGTCACGAAGGCACATCACAGTACAGAGCAAGGCGAGCATTGAACTTATAAAACTTAAACTTTGTTATTTATTTATTAAATGAGCCATTTTTTTTTTTTGCTTGATAAGACCCTTATTCATCGTCTGGTGTCGTTTAAAGCCCTTTGAAGCTGCACTGAAACTCTCATTTGGACTTTGAACCGTTTGGTTCCCATTAAAGTCCATTATATGGAGAAAATCCTGGAATGTTTTCATCAAAAACCTCACTTTCTTTTCAACTGAAGAAAGAATGACATGGACATCTTGGATGACATGGGGGTGAGTAAATTATCAGCAAAGGTTTTTTCAAAACTACTCATTTAAGTAACTTTTTTGGGAGTAACGAAATATTACAACACATTACTTTCCCCAACACTGTGCATCAGAGAGTTAAAAGCATCCCAGGATGCACCTCTTTTACTTGTAATATCCTACAAGCATTACTTATTTTTACAAAATGAATGGCATTCTACTGGTTAAAACATGTCAACCACTGGATACGCGTGTATTATTTTTGTGGTGTGGAACATACATGCCTAGTATCCTCAATTATTCATATTCAGAGCTCCAGGTCTTTGGGCTCCCATCCATATGAAATGGTCAAGGCTAACTCTATAAATCTGCCTATGTTCCTGATAAAACCTTTTTCTCATGTTAATAGCCAAAATGGACCAGAGAGAACTGCGCTACTAAGGCAAGGGTTACGGAGCCGGAGAACGAGGGCAAACGTTTGCTGCGTTAGAATCTCTGCCATACTCGTTCTCACCATTTAAGGAGCGATCTCAGCAAGAAGCATTAAGGAAATTCTGGGATCTATGGGGAAAACACTTCAAATGAAAGGCTCCAATTAGAGCCAAACGAGCTACAGCCTGATACAATATTAGCTTGGATTGGATTTTCAAGAAAATAATCCAAAACCCATGATGATTTTAACAAAACATCAAGAACATCTTTAATATCCAAAGAAACATGTAAACTCAGCAAAGAAAGAAACTCAGCAAAGAAAGAAATGTGCCTTTTTCCAGGATACTGTATTAGATAATTTTGTAAAACCCAAATAAGCATTACAGATCTTTATTAGAAAGGGCTTAAACAATGTTTTAACAGTTTAACTCTGAATGAACTCTTTTTCTGAACTCTTTGAATCTATTCAGCCGATCTCCGCTTCTGGTGGTACCACTTTTAGCATAGCTTAGCATACATCATTAAAGTGGACAAGACCATTAGCATTTAAAAAAAAAAATTACCTTCAAAGAGTTTCGATATTTTTCCCATTTAAAACTTGTCTCTTCTGTAGTTACACTGTGCAGTAAGACCGACAGAAAATGTAAAGTTGCGATTTTCTAGGCAGATATGGCCAGGAACTATACTCTCATTCCTGCGTAATAATCAAGAATCTTTATGAGTGCAGCAGGTGTAATGATTTGACGAAGAGCCTGAAAATAGTGCCCAGCTCAGTAACTTCCAACGTGACCAGGACTCAGTTTGTGTAGTTATGTTGACGGAAGGTAGCCTATTTTCAGGCGCTGTGTCATATCATTACGCCTGCTGCACGCTTGTAACGCCGGAATGAGAGTATAGTTCCTGCCCATATCTGCCTAGAAAATCACAACTTTACATTTTCTGTCGGTCTTAATGCACGATGTAACTACAGAAGAGTCCAGTTTTAAATAGGAAAAATATCGAAGCTCTTTGGTCATTTTTTTTTTTTTTTTGGGGGGAAATGCTAATGGTCTTGTCCACTTTAATGATGTATGCTAAGCTATGCTAAAAGTGGTACCGCCGGAACTGGAGATCAGCTGAATTGATTCAAAAACCGTAAAACTCAACAGTTTAACTCTGGGGAAGTTGTAAAATGAGCCTATTTCAAAAAAAAGTGTAATATCCCTTTAATCTCTGTGAAACCGAGAGTAACAGTGTACAGGCGGTAGACAATTAAAGTCACAGTTCCAATAACTTAGGACACAAAGGAGACCTTCCTACTGACTCTGAAAAACACCAGGGGAAAGAGGTCCAGGGTCCCTGATCACCTGTGTGAACATGCCCTGCTGCAAGAGCCATGAGGACTGCACAGGTGAACACAGCAAACCCCAATGTCCTTAGACACCTAAGACAGTGCTGCAGACATATTCGAGAACTTGCGAGTGCCATGGTGGAAGAGTGGGGTACTGTACAGTACATCTCACACATGCAAGAACTGGTGAATCTGCTTGTTTTTGAGGACGATGTGCACTGCAGTTAACAGCTGCTTCCACAGATACTGACACTTTTTATATAGACCCCCCAGAGGGACTCGTCATTCCATTTCTGTTCGCCAAATGTTCAAACAAATATTTACAAATTAAGAAATTTGCTGGAAAAAAAGCATTTGGCAGTGGGAGGCAATTTCTTTTATCTTATCTATATATTTACAGTAGGACTGTCAAACGATTAATCCCAATTAATCGCATCCAAAATAAAAGTTTGTGTTTACATAATATATGTGGGTGCACTGTGTATAATTATTTTATATATATATAAATACACACACATGCTTGTATATATTTAATAAATATTTTCATACTGTCATACAGTTTCATACTGATCTATTTTCATAGATCTATATATAATTTACATCATATATATATATATATATATATATATATATATATATATATATTTCATATATAATTTTTTTCTTCTTAAATATACATGTATGTGTGTGTAGTTATATATACAAAATAATTATACACAGTGCACCCACATAAACAAACAAAACACAAAAACTTTTATTTTGGATGCAATTAATCGTGATTAATCGTTTGACAACCCTAAATATATATATACACACACACTTATAATTTATTTGGCCAAGCTCCAATCAGTGAACTCGGTCAAGGGGCCTCATGATGACTAGAAAAGTCTTGTTAAATAAGACAAAATTATTAAAACACACCAAAATAAAATTCACTCCACACTCACACAAATCTGCAAAAATAGGGCACAATGTAATTTTAATTTGAAGGAATCTTCCATATTTATTTTTTGCAGGTGTTTTACCAGTATTTTGAATTTTATCCTGCTTTTGCATTAAAAAAAAAAAAAAAAAAAAAAGAGTATGTCCAAGTGATGAGCTGCGGGTCATTTTTCTGTTTTTTTTTTTACAGATTTCCTACAGTGCATAATTTTCCAATTATCAGTTTCCAGCTATGCTGCGCTCTAACGGATTTTATAGGGTAAAAATATAGAGTATAAAATATGTATATGTATCTTCATCCTTATCCAGTAAATCAAGAACTAGAAAAGTCATGGTGACTTTAGACAATGTGGAGCCTATGATTCAAAAGGTTGAGAACAACTGATCTAGATCTTGAGAGCCACTCATTACGTTAGCTTTTTGCCTACGAATATTAAAAATGCACTGCTTTCTCCTTAAGTGTGATTTACTGTATCTTGGCTCAGTGATATCCAGATTCTGTCACTTCCTCTCATGTTAGACAGATAATCAAAATAGCTGCTCTATCTCCTGCTCATTAGACCTAGTGCATGCTGATGGCTGGCTAA